ACCCCAGTAAAAAAAAAAAAAAAAAAATCTAAACAAAAGGTTGAAACCAGCTGGGCAACTTAACAATTTAGGGAGATGCTGTCTTAAGATTTAAAAAAGAAAATATTTAAAAGGGCTGAAGAGGGCTAGGGATTTAGCTCAGTGCCTGGCTTGCAAGCACAAGGTCCTAAATTCGATCCCTTATACCAACAACAACAACAAAAACCAGTATGAAAGAGCTGAAGATGTAGCACAGGGTAAAGGCCCTGGCCTGGGGCTCAATCTCCAGTACCAAAAAAGGAAAAAGAGAAAAGATGGTTAACAGAGGCACTTTTGCCTTGCTAATAGAAGACAGAAAAGGTCTCTCTGTTGCTCTTAGTTCCTTTTCTCATTGCTGAGGCAAAGAACCCAGTGCCCAGTTGAAGGAAGAAAGGTTTATCTGGCTCACAGTTTGCTGAGGTTTCAATCTATAATTGGCTAACCCCAGGGTGGCACAGGGCAGAGGGGAAAGAGCTCATGGGGGACAGAAGGCAGCAAAGCAGCAAGGGCGACCACAGCTCTTCCTGTCCCTCGTGCCTTATCCAGGCTGCTTGGGGTAGGCAGCACTCGCCCTGACGTGGCTCAGGTTTCGATGTCCCTCACAGCATCATGCTTGGTAGCACCAAGCCTGGGGGCACTGGGATTAAGGGCGAGAGTGCTACCCACCCTAAGTAGTCTGAATAGGAAAAGGGGGCAGAAAGACACTGTCCTTTGCTGCTTTTGCTACCTTGTGCATGCCACCAAGTCCTTTCTCCTCTGTGAAGCACCCCGCCTTGGAGCCAGCCAATTGTGGACTAAAATCTCTGCGAACTAAGCCAAATAAACCCTCCTTTAACTCTGGGTGCTGAGCATTTCAACTCAGCAATGAGAGAAAAGTGACGAACAACACACCCTTAACCCTAGTGCCCTTGATCCTGGCATTGCCCCGTGAATCGATACCAGCGTCACACTAGGTCCAGTCACCTCTGAAAAGCCCCGCCTCTGACCGTGTGAGGCTTTGAGGGGCACCGAGACACAGCCGTACAACCCCTCATGCAGGCGGTCAGCGCTTCTGAAGCTGGCACAGTCAGCAAACACCAGCAAAGGGACTGGTGGCCCCAGGCTCAGGCACAAGCTGAGGACCCAGGCACGAGGGTGGCAGGTAAGGCCCAGTGGTTGCAGGTCCCACGGGGCATGGTAGGAGGGGTCCCTCATGTCACCACAGCCACAAGGGACCTTTGTGGACACACAGTCCTTGCAGGTGGTAGGTGAGGCCATGCTGGTCAAACTGGTGTCCTTGTAAGAGGAGGGGCTGAGGCATGGCACAGAGGCACGCACTTCCCCAGCATGCACCAGGCCCTGGGTCCATCCCCACCACTGAAGGAAGAGAGGGACACAGAGAGACAGACAGACAGACAGAAAATGAAAGAGAAACAAAGGCAGAGCCCGGAGCAATGTAGCCACAAGCTAAAGAGCACCAAGGACCCGCAACAGCGGCAGAGGCTGTGAGAGGACAGGTGTCTGGAGCCTGTGCAGGCTGCTGCTGAGCCCCCAGTGTGCTTCAGTGCGGAGACAGGGATGGAGGTGCTGGCCGGGAGCCAGGCCCTCATCTTCATGCAACCTCGCAGGCTATGGCTGGCAGGAGCCCACTCCACAAGGCAGACACAGGCCCGGGGTGTTGCTCCTGCTTAGCCCCACAGCTGGTAGACAGTGGAGCCAGTACCATTTCTCCAAAGACGCACAACAGGCAGAGGGGACATCTGGAGGGAGGGGTCTCTGGCAGCCATCAAACCTTGGGTCACCGAGACCCTGTGGGGCTCCTCCCTGCCCCATCCAGTGGCAGTGGCTGCTCTTGGGCAGAGGGAAGGCCCAGGCCCCCAGGCCCAGGGCCCTGGGATGTGGCTGGCTCAGGACTGGCTCTGGCGCCCCCTGCCTTTTGCAGTGTGAGGTGGGTTAACTACTGATCACCTGGAGTCAGCGCAGCTCTGGGCATGGAAGACCCGCTCCCCCAGGATTGTTGCCAACGGCACAAGAGGAGACTGGAGGGGAGATCGTGGGCTGTTGATCGTCCTGGAGGAGCTTGTGCAGCTGGTTTTCCTGATGCCAACTCGGCTGTCCTCAGAGGAGCTCAGTCCTCGCCGTGGCCCAGGATGGCCGCTGTCCTCCTCAGGGGAGCTCTGGTCTCCGCTGTGAGCACCTCTTCCTGGCTCCAGCACAGACCCCTCAGCCTGGTGGCACAGACCCTTCACTGCCGATGCACTTTCTAGCATCCACTACTGGCCTTGGGCCTTCCCGGTACAGATCCTCCATGCGGACTTGTGTGGACACTGCCGTGGGATCCAGGCCCTCAGCGGGACTTGTGTGGACACTGCCACGGGATCCAGGCCCTAGGTTGGATTCTTCAGGTCTCTGGTGTGTGGACAGGTCTCTTGTGCTCCTCTGCATTTGACTTTTCGGGTGACTATTATAAAATAACCCTATAAATTATGAGTCCTGTATTAAATCTATTCCCTTGCAAACCCTGAGAACAACTTGGTGCCTTTCTGGGCCGATGGAAGCTGCGGGATGAGTCACAGGCCCCGTGCTCCCATCTGACAAGCACTCAGTCCATAGGATCAGAGGGAGAGGGCAGCCCTGCAGCCTCACCCCACAGCCGCACCTCCTGACCTGCATAGGATGACGGCCAGGAGGTGTGCGGGGTTGGCCCCACCTCAGGAAGCACCATGGAAGTCCTCAGACTCAGGCCCAAGGTCAAGATTTCCTGGATCACCAGGCCAGACGGATCCCAGAGGGCTGAGGGCACAGCAGAGGCAGCCAGGCCCCCAGGCCCCACAGCACCCTGGTGCCCCCTGAGCCTGGCCACTTCCCAGGATTGTAACACTCTTTCCGGGCTCTCCCTCTCGGCTGCCTTTCACAGAGCGAGGTCCACACAGGGACAGATGGCTGTCACCGGCCAGAAGGGCTCTGCTAGCACATGGCCAGCCCTCCTGCAGTGCAGGAAGCTGCAAAGGGCAAGCCCCGCCCCACCCACTGGGACACTGCTGTGAGCAGCCCAGGCCAGCAGGAACAGGTGGGCGCAGCTTTTCCAGCAGGGCATCAGGAGATGACTGTCCTTGGCCACAGTGCGCAGCCTACGAGTGCGCTGCAGCTGCCCTAAAAACATCCCAGAACGTGGCACCTGAGACAATACCCACTGTTCTCCTCGAGTCCCAAGTGAGTCTTCAGGACCAAAATCAGGGCATGGGCAGGGGTGGCTCCTTCCAGGGCTCCAGGGGGAATCTGTCCCCTCAGCCTTTCCAGCTTCCGGGGCTTTGGGCCTCTTTCTCCGTCCCCACAGTGCCTTGCTCCAACCTCATCTACCTGCATCACAACCGACTCTGACCTCCCGACTCCCTCCTACGAGGACCCTGCAGGACATGGGCTGGCCCAGACGATCCAGCACCACCCCCATGCCAACATCCCCAGTCACATCTGACGGTCCCTTCCTCCACGCAGGTGGCGCATCACAGGCCCGCACAGGGGACCTCTGCCCACCCCTGCAGGGAGACGTGCCTTGCCACACCACAACCAGCCACAGGCCCTCTGCTCAGCAGCCGGTGAGTGGGAGTGCAGACAGCGCGGACACCCTGGACAAGGATGATCCACATCCTCAGTGGGACAGGGAATCCTGACTGCCAACCTGACCGGATTGAGATAACCACCCAGGGAATCAGCACAGCACACTTCTAGGTGCATCTGGGCATCGTGGGGTGTAACCTTGGGGCCCGTGTCTCACCCTGGCCCCTTCTCCTTGGGCTCTTTCCCTTTCTTTCTGGTCCCCAGCCACACCGTGCAGTGACTGGCTTTGCTCCCTCACACCCCTCCACCATGAGCTTCCTGGAGCAGCTGACCACAGACCGAAGTCCCGGAACAGTGAGCCGTGTGAGCATCTCCTCCTTTGGGCTGTGGCCTCAGGTGTTTGGTCCCAGAGATGGGACAGCTGACAGCGTAAATGAGAAGGAAGACGTCGGATTTCACCAGGCTGTTCAGAATGGTACCCAACTTAAAGTTTAGAAATTGTTCATTTCTAGAGTTTTCCATCTATTTTCAGACCACCGTTGACCAAAAAAAGGGAAACCACAGAGAAGGGCTCCACAAAAGCTCTGACAAAGTCTAAAAATCTAATTACATCTAAGGAGATGGACAGCTCGAGGTGGCACAGGGTGACTATACAGATCTGTCTTATTGTTTGAGTAATTTTATAAATTCATTGAAAAACAAAAATACCAGCCCGTCGCATGGCACACACCCATGATGCCAGCTACTGGGGAGGCTGAAGCTGCAGGATCCCAAGTCTGAGGCTGCCCTGGCAACTGAAGCAAGACTCCGTGTCTGAATTTAAAAATGAAAAATAAAAAGGGTCTGGGGATGTAGCTCAGAGGTGGGACACCTGCCCAGCGTGCGCAAGGTGCTAGGCTCCATCCCCAGCCCTGGGAGCACATGCAACACATAACACACACACACCACACACACCACACTCCCATTTGCCGGGCATGGATCCCCTCTGCCCAGCTCTCAGGGCCGGCACAGGGCAGGGGCGCAAACTGCAGCAGGGGCCACAACGGGCTACAGCCCGGGTTCCATGTACCATGTCGCCCCCTCCCCAGAGAACTCTGTTGAAAGGCCACTGCGAGATGCACCCCTTCGTGAAGAGGAGTCTGAGTCCAGGCTGGGGCAGAAGGGCCCAGAGGAGGGGCAGGCAGGAAGCAGAGCCCTGCCACCAGCCGTCAGCTGCCCAGGCACCACCCTCCTCGGTGTCTGCAGCTCCCCTCGGTGCAGGTATAGTTCCGGTCTCTCCGGAGGGCTGCCTGGCCGTGTACACAGCCACCTCTGCAGGCTCCGAACACCTGGCCTCAGGACGAGGGTGGCCATCCTGCCAGCGCCTCCCCTGCTGCCCTGTGCTGTCCCTGCCCACCACGTCACAGCACAAAGGCTAGAAAACAAAGGGAAACAATGGCCAGCACCGTGCGACCCTGGACGACACCGGCCCCACTGGTGTCACTTTCCTCCTGTAGGTACACTTTCTGATTTCCCCTTATGAAGCAAGCATTACATCTATGGCATTAAAAATAACTGCCGAACTGAATTCGTTCTTAAAATACCAGATGAGTACGGTACTCGGGGTGGAGGAGGGGGATCAGCACGACCTCGGACTTCAGTGCCGACGTGGGAATTCCGAGCTCCTGTGGCTCCCGGGCGAGTTCACTCCCCTCCAAGCCCTGAGCCATCCCAGCACGGACGCTCACGTTGCCCACCGTGGCCACTGCCTTTGCTCATCGTGATCAAAGGTCTCTAAGCACCAGGCCGAGGTCTGAGCTGGTGCCGAGTTGGATCTTCCCGGAAGCTCCCCAGCCGGACAGAACCACTCCAGGCAGAGCAGGAAAGGTCCTCCCAGGGCCCCGTCTGAGCACAGGGCAGACCGAGGGCCGACCGAGCAGGGACTTGTGGGCCCTCAATGCCACTCCACTCTCCTGGCGGCCCAGGCCTCAGCCCACAAACACCTAGAGTCACCTCGAAATCCCCACAGAACCCCATGATCACTCAGGACCTGTTCCTTACAGGTTGGGGGCTCCTCTGAATCCCCAGTTCAGTGCCCAAACCCCACACCAGGCCACTGCTGGCCCAAAGCAACTAATCTTATGCCAGCCCCGGGTGGGGTGCCCGACTGGGGCCCAGTGGCCTCTGGTTTCCTCCACATCGCTGCAGTGCCCTGCAGGTAGCAAACACCTCTCCCCCACCGATGGCCACACCACACCTCACACCATCAGAACAGCCAGCTCCTGTGTCCACGACATTCCCTATTACACATGGCGGGTACCGCCGTGCCGAGAAGAGGCTGGGGCCCCACCCACGGGCACCTGAGGCCCAGGGTTCCACGGGAACCAGCCTGAGAAGCACTCGCGAGGTCCCCAGGGACAGCACCCCAGCAGGGAGGGCCGCCCCGAAACCCGGCCACCGGCCCTACCTGGAGGCCGCGATCTCGGCCTTCTGCCTGGCGATGGTGGCAGCCCGCTCGGCGGCCTCCACGGCCCGGTCCACCTTCTCACGGACCTTGCTGGCGCGCAGCGGGATGAGGTTCTTGCGCTTGCCGCTCACGAGGATGTTCTGCTTGTACTTGCCCTCCTCCTTGGTGCCGTCGGGGAAGGTCATGCAGCCGTAGCCGTGCCGCCGGTTGCAGGCCCACTCGCCCTCGTACTTGAGCCCGTCGGAGCGCTGGCTCACGCCGAAGCCTGCGCGCTTGTCGTTCCTCCACTCGCCCACGTAGGTCTCGGTGGTGGTGGCGTCGATGTCGTCCTCGATGACGGCCAGCTCGGCCTCCTGGAGGCATCGGGGTGCAGTGCCGAGCCGTTGGTGTGCTCACTGCGCAGGGAGTTGATGGACGTCCTCAGGGGCGAGCGGATGACCGCCGCCATGCCGTAGGGCACACTCTGCCGCACGCCGTAGCCCTGCCGCATGCCGCCGACCCACTGGCCCTGGTACGTCCCTGGGAAGACAAACGGAGAGGGTGAGCTCCGGGAGGAGGCCGCGCCTGCCAGGGGTCACCGAGAGCTGCTTCATGGGCCCTTAAATCGCTCAGGAGGCTGAGGCAGGAGGATCACTGTGAGTTCAAGGCCAGCCTGAACTATAGAGCAAGACCCTGTCTCAAAACCAAACAATGATGGCAAAAACCCAAAAAGCCCCCATCCTACTTCCATGGCTGATTCCTTCCCTTAGAGTCGGAGAACAGGCAACTGGGAAGAGGGGGCTCAGCCCCAGAGTGGTCCACAGTGTCCTGCACCTTGCAGTGCTCGCCTGGAGAGGTAGTGAGCTCCCCACCGCTGGAGGCATCGAAGAGGAGTTGGAAAGACTTCCTGGTGGGGAAGAGGCTGGGGCAGACTCAGCAGACTCGGCAAACTCGCGAGCAGGGAAATCAACCAAACCAGCACCTGTAAACCCCTGGTCGCTGCACCAGTGTCCTTGGGAGCCATGGGGTGTGCCTGCCAGCAGGGAAGGGACCACATGGTACTCCACATGGAGCACTGATTGCTGGAGAGGAGGGAGGCTTCCTCCCGGGCCGGGGCCAGGCAACAGCACCCAGGGAGGGAGTCCAGGCGCAGACTCAAAGGCCACGTCCTGCCACGTCCTGCCACACCCCAGTGCATCCTGGGATGGGACACAGTGCGGAGGAGCACCAGGGTGGGCAAAGGGGGCAGGTCGCTGCGCCCAACAGGGACAGTTTCCGCTCTAGGACAGAATGCACTTAGAGTCCCTGAGCCACACACTTAGGAGCGGCTGAAGAGCCAGGCACCATGGCATGCACCTACACTCCCAGCTACTCCGGAGGCTGAGGCAGGAGAGTTGCATGCAGGAGTTTCAAGGTGAGATCTCATCTCAAAAAGGTGCAGGGGGTAAACTGGTGATACACGGTGTTACTGAAAAATATGGTGAGTGTTTCAATTTTTAAAAATTTAGTACAGTAAGGGAAAAGAAAAAAATGTGAGAGAATGAAAAGATGAAAATAAAGTGTTTGTAGATGGGGAGGGGAGGAGGGGGTGAAGGGAGGGCAGAGGTAAGGGGAAAAAAATGAGAATCAAGACTTGCCATGTAAAGGTACATGATCCCAACAATGAATGTAACTGTACTGTATCCCTAAATGTACCAATAAACTCAATAAAAAAAAAAAAAAAAAAATTTAGTACAGTATAAGACACACTGCCAAAAATCCTCCTCAAAACACTGATCCTGTGGCTCTGGCCTCTTTCCAAAGCAGCTCGGGAGTTCTCTTTCGTGTCACTACAAGGTGTGATCAAAAACACAGTGAATGCTGCCGTCTGGGCCGGGGATTTACCTCATCGGTCCCGCCACCTGCCTTTCAACTGCAAGGACCCGAGCTCAATCCCCAGTACCAAAAAAAAAAAAAAAAACAGGCCTGACCGCTCTAATTTGTGTGTGACTTTAAACAGGTTTCCGGACCTCTGACCCTGTTCCACTCTTGCAGAAGCAGACCAAACTCTGGGCACTGCAGCCCCTGAGGTTAGAGGTGCTGTGGCCAGGCCTGGTTGTTAGATCCGTGAGCAGCGAGCCCGAGGCTGGGCGTTTTCCCCACCTCGGGAGGGTCCAGCACATGCTGGACCTGCTCACTGTTCTTTCAGCCAAGGCAGCAGAGGCTGCAGAGGCCCCGAGCCTGGAACCCCCATGTAGTCCTGCCGAGAAGGCTGGAGATGTCACACCGAGAGGTCTCACAGGAAAGCTCGGGTCTCTTGCGCCCCCTGAATCAGGAGATTGGGCAACTCTGGGTCTCTCCTCAGAGGTAGAAGGGCCCGGCACCCACAGCAGTGGGCGTGGGGGCACCATCTAGACCATGTGTGGGGCCCAGCTCTGCAATGAGGCACCTGCGATCCCCCAGCATCACCGCCAGACCCCGGCTCAGGAAGGCCCATCACTCCCATGCCTTCGTGCACTGGGGCCCTTACTCACCTGCGCCCCAACCTGCTTCACCACGGCCAACCCAGCCCAGGTTCCGCCCCCATTACGCCTCCCGTGCCCAGTCTCGGGCCACCAGTACCCACATCCACTGCACATGCTGCAGGCTGAGTCAGGATGGCCTTTGCACACACAGGTCCCAGTGGGACATCCAGTTCCTTAGAGGCACAGGTGCCCACCAGCTTCCAGAACCTTCTTCCACTCTTGTCCTTCCTTAACAATGGCTACCTGACAGTCCCAGAACATGAGTGCTTCACTCCAGCTACAGGCTCGCCCGGGCCTAGCTCAGGCCTCGGTTTTTATTTTATTGTTTTATTTTTCGTGCTGGGGGTAGAATCCGGAGCTGTGCACGCATTAAGCCCACACCGTGCTGCTGATTTAAACTCAGCCTCCCATCCGCACTTCTGATAGCTAATATTTACACCGACCTCAGCTTCATCCGTGGGGAAGCTCCCAGGGTGGAACTGCTTGCTCATGAGGAAGGTTTCTGATAACTGTGCTCAGGAAAGACTCCTAGAACGATCACGCCCTCTGCGTACCCACATCGCTGTGTCACCAAAAAGCCCTTCCAAGCGGGGCTGGGGGTGAGGCCTAAGCTGGAGCCCGGAGCCCCCAGCGGGTGGACGGCAGCTCTGGGGTGGGAGTTCAGCTAATGGGAACCACCGGGCAGGCTGGGAGAAGCAGCCGTGGCACCTCAGTTTGGAACCCCAGCCTCTCTCAATCTCCAGCCGTGTAACTACATAGATAAGAAGTTAGAACAAAACCAAGAAGAAAAGGTAAAAAGCCAGACTGTTGAAAACATGTAAATAACGAGTCAGGCACAGCAGCACACACCCAGGATTCTAGGTTCTTGGGAAGCTGAGGCAAGAGGATCACATTACTCAGTGAGACCCTGTCTCAAATTAAAAAATAACAAGGGCTGGGGATGCAGCTCAGTGGTACAGTGGCCCTGGGTTCTACCCCCAGATATATATAATTATATATTATAATTAACCCAATTACACATATTCTGTATATATAATTTATATGTAATTTATATAGCTACAACATACATAATATGTTCACAACTTTGTATATAAATATACTGCATGTTATAAATGTACATATACTTTAAAATAATTAATAGTAAGCAGACAGCCCCCTCACTGCAAGACACAGGGAGAGAAGAAGCAGAGCCAGGAACGGCTGGGAGGAGCAATGCAGTGACACAGAACCAAGCAGGGCCACTGGGGGACAGTGCTGGTCCCCACAGGGACACCCTCTGCTCCCTGCCTGGCCACCTGAAGGAGCCAATGGTCACCAGACACTAGGAGGCGGCCTCAGTGCGAGGAAGGAGGCCAAAGCACAAAGAAACGGGGAAGAGAGAACTGGCCACAGCCACGAAAGATATGGGTGGAGGCTGGGGACGTAGCTCAGTGGTGCTGAACCTGCCTCACAAACACAAGGTCCTGAGTTCAATCCCTGGTAGGCAGGTGAGGGGGCAAGAACAGAAAATTTTAAAAATGTATCAAGGAAATTGGAATCCAAATCCCTAGGAAGTAAGATGTTGTATCCCCCACTGGAAATAAAATGCAATTTAAAACAGGAAAGAGCAAAGAAAAGGAAATCACAAGGATAGTTAAAATAAAAATTCTGGTGGCTGGAAATGGATGCAGACATCTGTAATCCCAGCACTTTGGGAGGCTGAGGCAGGAGGATAGAAAGTCAAAACCAGGCTGGACAACTTAGCAACTTAGTGAAACACTGTCTCAAAAAATTATAGATCTGAGGGCCGGGGATTTAGCTTCGTGGTTCCACCACCTGCCTTGCAAGCAAAAGGACCAGAGTTTGATCCCCAGTACCAAAAATTTAAAAATTTAAATTTAAAAATTATAGAACTGGGGATGTAGCTTAGTGTGGAGGCCCCAGGTTCAATCTCCAGTGCCTTCCCCACAAAAATAGTAAATGAGTGAAGGTACGTTTAAGAAGATCTTTCAGAAACTAAAACACAAATAAGAGGTAGGAATGGGAGGCTGAGATGGGGGGCTGACATGAGTTCAAGGCCAGCCTGAACTGCAAAGTGAGATCCTGTCTAAATAAATTTTTAAAAAAAGAGGTAGGGAAAACTGAAGAAAAGGCTCATCCAGGAGGCCCCGAGTCCAAGGGTCCAAGGATCAAGAGAGCCGAATGCAATGCAGGCGACCAAGGCAGAGCAGGAACATCTCCCAGAACTGAAGACTGTGTGTCCAACCAAGGGCTCACAGACACCCTGCATGGGACAGGAAAGAGCCCACACCAAGACCAGGCAGCATACAGTTTCAGTTACTGAGCAGGTTTTACATGCTTCATGGTGAAAGAAAAGCAGACTGTTCCTGATGGACTGAGACAGGCAGAATGGCAGAGGGTGTCACAACAGCAACAAACCCAGAGATTTCCCCAGTGGGAAAATGTGCCCACACCACCACAGATTCTGAGCAAAAATGATTTTCAATATACATCCTATGCATATTTATCAATCAAGTAATCAAGCCACAGAAAGTTCATGTTCCATACATCCTTTCTCAGGAAGTTACTGCAGGATGTGCACCACAAAAATGAAGGAGAAAACCAAGAAAGGACGGTCTGGGGAGATAAAACACGTGAAAGGGGACTTACAGGAAGATGAGCACACAGTGAAGACAGTAAACAAACTGTCAATTGTGTGTGCTTCAAGTAGAGCATCGGGCAGGTATGAATGAAAACCTCCATCAAGAGTTGTTTTGTTGGGGCTAAGGATTTAGCTCGGTGGCACCACTCCTGCCTTGAAAGTGCAAGGTCCTCAGTTCGATTCCCCAGCCCAC